TAAAATAAATTTATAACATAACTTTTCTTTTATATTGATTAGAAATCTACAACACACCTATCTAGATATTAAGTACTAATAATGGATAAGAAATAACTGTTTTTGCATTAATTTCTCTCAATTATGAATTTATCTATTGAAATAACAAATAATTTATTTTTTAAAAATAAACATATATATTTTCCAGCAAAACGAATTTTATATATAAGTAAGGAGTATATCATGCAGAATTTCAAACAGAATAAAGCGCTCAGAAAAAATGGGATGTAAAAAATGATCATATGGGCATCCTATTTATAATATTCGGGGGTTATTACAAAAATATGTGAAGGAAGAGGCTTCACCCTTTCAACCAGCGGTTCTATCCAAATCATTCGTAAAGGAAACGTTTCGTCAAGAACGCATTGGTTCACAACCCAACCATCCCACATCGACACGCAACTTTAAATTTTAAATCCCACACTGAAACGTTATTCTTTGAATCGAATAGTCCCGAATGAAACTTTCAATTCAAATTTTAAACGTTCCGCTCGGGAACTTTGCTCGTTTTCTCCCAAAGAGGAAGAAGTGGGACCAATCGTTTTTAGCTTTAGTCAACCTTGAGCTTGAACATTGTTGATCCAATGGGAGCTCTTTTTATAAGGAAGCTCATTCATTCCTCTTGACCAAAACTTTAGATGTGAGACAACATATAAGGAAGCTTCATTCCTTGTACTTTGTCATTTTTTCAACGTTTGACAAATATTCTTCCACCATATTTTTACATTTATTTTGGATAACCACATTTAAAAATTAATTTCTCATTCACCACAAATTGGGTTTAAGAAATTAAAAATGCTATAATTATCTATTCATTTAGTAGATTTCAAATATAACATTTATCCAATTTTTCTGACAATATTAGTAAATCAAACTAACTAAGAGGACTCCTTCCGTATGACATTTCACTCAGAGTATACATTTCAAGACCCGATTCGATAAGTTTCTGAAAAATCTTCGAAATAATTTACCCGTTGACACCTATGAGACCTTTACCCAACCAAACTGACATTTCACATTATATCCCGTTAAAACCTTAATAATTTCTACGATTTTCATTAGATTCATTTCAAATTCATAAGATAAAGCAAATATCAGTAGAAAATTTATTTATTACATCTTGACGATATTTGCCAAAATCGAAACGTTAATAGTAATAGTGAAATTTATGTGTTTATTTGATATTTTTAAGTTGATATATTTTTATTTTGTTAACATTATAATATTTTGTATAGTTTTAAGTTTTTTTGTGAAAAAATAAAGAGTTCGATTCTTCAAATAATAAATAATAGAAAAAACCTATATTATTTACATTACATTAGAGAAAAGTAACTATTTTGAAAATAATTTTATTTGGGAAGGTGAATTATTCTTAGGAAAAATCGTATATAAATACCTAAATTTTTGCAAAATTCTCATATAAATACCTGAACTATAAAACTCTCATATAAATACCTGAACTTTGTAAACCTTTCAAAAAAATATCCAAACTTTTAAAAATCTCTCAAATTAAACAATATTCGTTAATATGTCAGGATGTCATGTCATCAATTTTTGGAGGATTCCATTATAAATTAATCGTCATTAATGGATTTTAGTTTTATTTGAGAGATTTTCAAAATTTTGGGTATTTATGTGAAAGTTGGGAAAGTTCATATATTTATAAAGAAATCTTATAGTTTTAAATAATAATAGAAATTTGGTTGGTGTTAGAAATGCAATAATTATATATTTCAATTAATAAATATTTTACAATAAAGTATTGATTTAATGTTAAACCTATATAAACTCATAAGTATTTAAATTTTATACAAATTTATTTAATTCCATCAATTTAATGGAATACAGCACTAATAACTATTTCATTTGCCCCAATAAAATTTAAATCATTGTATTTTTTATAAATTAAGATTTGGTCAGTTTTATATTTTAAAAAATAAAATTAATAGTATGTCATATTTGTATGTCATGTATATTTTATGAAAGTAATATTGGTTAAACAACCCCTATGATCCATTTTAAATTTATATAAAATATGAGTTAAAACTTATTTAGTTTAATCTTTTTATTTAATTCAACCTATATTACTAATCGTGTTAAACTATGGGAGATTTTTCTCGAACCAATATGTTTTTATATCTAAAACCCTATTGTTAGAGAAAGAATATATTGAATTTAAAATAATTCAATAACAACATGAAACCAACAAAGACACTTGTTTTCTACTTTATTATGTGCTTTGTTTCTTTGAATTTCTATTTTTTTTCTTGGACAAAAAACCAGGAAATATGGAGGTGAGGAGGGGAAGAGTTGCAATATTACCAGATAAAATGTTACTCAAATTCTAGGTTCAAAACCTAACAGAAGAGAAGAAAAAAACAATGGCTAAAAAAATAAAATTTCCATATGAAAACATTGCGACGAACGTGCTATTTATGTGAATATATATACACACATATAGTAACAAACCCACGACAAATTTTAATTGGAGGCATAGACATATAATATATATATATATATATACCTAAAAAAAAGAAACGCCATGGAAAAATAAACTATACAAAGACATATTTTTAACAGCACTGTGGGCACGTACCCCACTGGCTATAACGTGGGTTTGTCACTGACAAACTGGGTCTTACTTGAGTAGAATGCGTAGGAATATTCATCTATACTTGTTCCGTTACAGGAATGGTGTATCAACTAAAAGCTTCATTGTATAACTAAACAATAGATCAAAAACAAAACAAAAGGGAAAAAACAAAAAAGATGAGATGGGAGAGATAGTGTCCACTGAATGGAACCCTCACCCTCGTCGTGTCTGGCCCCTTATGGTAGTGATATTATGAGAACTGTGGTATTGTTCTGTTTTTTTAGACAGCTTTCCTCTTTTGAATTGAGATATTTTCAAAGGTTCGACGATTTTGGATGAAATATCATATGAATCTTCTTAAAATTGCTTGGGATTTCAGTGAATTGGAATCCTCCCGCCAAACTTGTTGATGGATTCATGTGTTGTTTCTTTGTTGTAAAAATAATGTCACTCTTGCTTTTAACTAACCCTTATATTTCTTTTTCTGACATTCATCCAAAATCTTTCATTTCTTTCCCAAAAATTTCTCATGGATTAAATCAATACAATAATCTTTGAAATAGAAATAATATAAATGCAATTTCAATATCATACTCCTCAAAATTATGTACCAAGTCTTCTAGACTCGCATACAAACACCAATCTCAACGACATTATTTATTCAGTTGGACCAAAGTTCTCTCTCACTTGTCCTTTGCCCATATATATCTACGCAAATAATATACGTATTTGTGTGTAGATATGTGTGTTTGTGTGAATATGAGTTTCACAGTGTAGGAGGGATCTAGAAATCACCAGATTTAGCAAGTACCTCTATTCTTGTTCCCTCGACTTATGCAGAAAGAACAAATCGAACAGTTCAAAAATTATATTTGATCGAAAGATTCGAACAATATTTATCGTATACAAATGATTTGTTTAGTGTCCACCCGAATAGAAAATGTAGAACGGTGAAAGATCGTAAAAAATATGGAAAGTAAGATGATATAGAATACTTACGTGTTGAGAATTAGACACTCATATGTCTCGGGGATCGACAATTCCAGAACATTTTTTCTATATATACATGTATCGTCAATACTTACGTCCAAAAATATGCAAAATAAATATATAAATTTAAACAAATATATATCACTAATATACCAGATTTAAGCTCCTTCTTGTTCGACTTGCTCTTGGGATCAATACAAATATATATATATATATATATATACTCAGATCATGTTAATTGACTCTTCGATCTTTACGATTCATGCACAGATAACTACATGACTTTTTTCTATTATTTATTTGGTAATTGATTATGCATTTGACTCAAAAAAATCTTATTGGAAAAATAAACACATGTCATGTTCTTATATAACTTTACTTATATATATATATATATATATATATATTATTATATTAAAAGCTTGATAACAATTGCTTTTATCGTCCCATCATTAATTTTTTTTATTTTGGGATATGACATTAGCATTGTTTGAACTTGATTAAAATTTATTGAATCTGTTTTTAAATTTTATATGTATTCATGTTCATATTTGTATGTATAGTTTTGAATGAGAATTATTTAGATAATTAAGTTTACATCTCTACATTCAGCTCCATCATTATTATTTTTTATTTTGAAAATCTGATTAAAATTTATTAAATCTGATTTTAAATTTTATATGCATGTACTTATATTCATATTAATGAGTATGTAATTAATGGTATATAATTAATAAGATAGAGAATAAGTTAAAAAAATTTGAGGACACGTGTCGCACTCTCAATAACAACTGTACTTTTATATATAAGATTAGTGTAGACCCAAACATTTAAAGGGGAGAATATTAATAATTAATAATATGGTAAAAAAAATTAAAAAAAAATATCAAAAAAATATTGAACTTTCAAATTTTGACAAAAAAACACTAAACTTTTTATTTTATCAAATAAATATTAAACTTTTTAAGTTTTGACAGAATAAATACTTAACTATTCAACGATTGTCAAAATAAACAACGTGACTGACGTTGCTCAATGAGATGTAAACACGTCAAAAAGAGTTCATGTATTTTTTTGGATCACTAAAAAAGTTCAGTGTTCTTTTATATTAGTTTAAAAAATTTAATGTTTATTTGACAAAAAAATAAAGTTCGGTATTTTTTTTTATCAAAATTGAAAAGTTTATTTTTTTTTTCCAAAAATTATTTATTAAATTCAAGGGTTTTTTTGTTCTAATTACAAGTGAAATTGTGTTTTGATTTGAAAATCTGGAAGTAAGAGATTTTGTTTAGAGTTTCGCAGAATATGGAGGACTTCTATGAAAATACTAAAATTTAAGCCCAAAAAACCCTAAAGCCCTCAGGTAAGAGTTCTTTTCTCTCCCTCCCAAAATTATCTCGCCGTCGGTGTCTCACTCCGGCAATATTCACCGTCGATTGCTCGTCTCCGACAAGAATATCGGTTATTCTTGGTCTTCCTCGTTGTCTTTTCCTGCTTCTCCGTAAGTTTATCTTGAGATGAAGATGTCAGAATGCAGAGAAGTCAAAGCGAAGAGAGTGTTCATAGGAGCAGGATGCAATAGAGTCGTTAATAACGTGTCTTGGGGAGCTTCTGGTCTCATCTCTTTCGGTGCGCAGAACGCCGTGGCTATCTTCGACCCCAAGGTCTCGTTCACTGTTTCTCGATCGGTCGTTTCACTCTCTGTTTTTTTACGGGATTGTATTTGATTTATTTTTTTTGGCCCATTTGCAGATTTCCCAGATTCTTACTACGCTTCCAGGTCACAGAGCTACCGTGAATTGCACTCATTGGTTGCCCAGTTCCAAGTTTGCTTTCAAAGGTACATATTTCTCCAATTTCTTGCTTTTCTACTGTTTTTTGTGTTTTTGATTATGTGGTTTCTGAAACTCCTTTAGTAATAGTTTGAATCCAAGCTCATGATTACGTTGAATCGCACAGATATCACAACAGAAAGGGATTTTGATGCTAGAAGCTTTGTTTTTGTTAATTGGTTGCTGTTTTATGCTCTTATAGTTCAAATAGATAGGAAATGTTGAAGAATTTGGAGTGATGATTGGTATTGTTAGTCGTTGTAATCCATCTGACGATGGGCAGCCGGTGTACAAAGCATCCCGTTGATCGGGATCCGGGGAAGGGTCCCACCACAAGGGTGCATTGTAGACAAACCTTACCTTGTAGAATATTCTGCAAGAGGCTGCTTCCAGGACTCGAACCCATGACCTCTAGGTCACAACGGCAACACCTTAACCGGTGCATCAAGACTCCCCTTCTGTAATCCTTCTGTAATCCATCTGACGATGCTCTCAACAAATTTTTAGGAGAAGGTGAAAGCATAGCTTGTTGTGCTCATTGTATGACCAACAGTTAGAACGATTTTAAAAGTGTATTTGGATTTCAGCTTATTGTGATATAAAAAATAGCTTTATGTTATATTTTCACTGAATGTGAAAATGAGCTTAGGAGACACTGGCCAATTTCACGGTGACAGATATGAACGGTGTTTGAAAGTGTTTAGGGAAAGTTTTTCCGATGATTAAATGTCCGATACTATATTGGATGTTTGCGGAGCGTGATCTCCCTTAAAATTCTGTGACTTATTCGCAGCCAAGAATATGAAGCGGCAATATCTTCTATCTGGTGATTCAGATGGCGTCATCATCCTTTGGGAACTATCCGTTCTCAGTAACAAGGTAAAAACCTCTCTATCTTCAGTCTGATCTAATCTGAGTACTGCTCTTGTTTCCCATCTCTCTGGTCTGGTCCTGCTAGTTTCTCATGTGAATTTGTTTCTTGTTTCTTTCGCAACAGTGGAGGCATATATTACAATTACCACATTCTCATAAGAAAGGTGTTACGTGTATCACTGCGTTCATGGTTTCTGAAGCCGATGCTATGTTTGCTTCTGCTTTTTCTGATGGAGTTGTGAATGTCTGGGGTGTTTCTTTTCCATCGCAGCCTAATGGTTAGTCTTTTGTGTCACCTCAATCTTCCTCGACATCTTGTTTCTTCCTCTCGAGCAAAGAATCTAAGAGCAGGTTATAAGTTGCAATTTTCATCTTTTTGTTCTTTGTTACAGAAGACTGTAAGGTATCATGTCTGGATTCCATCTCTGTTGGCTCTAAAGCAATGGTGGCGCTCTCATTAGCAGAACTGCCTCAAAATCCTGGGCGATTTGTCCTCGTGATGGGTGGATTGGACAACAAAATCAAACTTTACCATGGAGAAAGAATGGGGAAGGTACTGTATTCACCTTTTATGTCGATCAATTCATAAACTTTCCAGACATTATTTTTATTTTCCGGGACCTTTTGTGGTTTCAGTTTGCATATGGTTGTGAGCTCAAAGGCCATACAGATTGGATTCGGAGTTTGGACATCTCATTACCGTTACTCACAACAGATGACACTGCCAATAGTATTGTGCTGGTGAGTTCTTCTCAGGACAAAGTCATACGAATATGGAAAATCATGCTAGGAGGTGACCATGGCTTGCGGAGAAGAGAAATCACTCTGGCTTCTTACATCGATGGCCCAGTTTTCATCTCGGGGAAGCTAACATATCAGATTTCCATTGAATCTATTCTGATTGGACATGAAGATTGGGTCTATTCAGTTCAATGGCAACCTCCAGTCTATAATTCTTCTGAAGAGCATGCATGGAGCCAACCGTTGAGTATCTTATCGGCTTCAATGGATAAAACTATGATGATCTGGAGACCCGAGAAGAAAACAGGTGTGTGGATGAACACGGTGTGTGTAGGAGAGCTAAGCCACTGTGCTCTGGGATTTTATGGAGGCCACTGGAGTCCAGACGGTTTCTCCATTCTTGCACATGGATATGGTGGATCTTTTCACATGTGGAGAAATGTCAGCAGTGAAGAATCTGAGAACTGGAAACCGCAGAAAGTCCCGTCTGGGCACTTTGCAGCCGTGACAGATGTTTCATGGGCAAGAACGGGCGAGTACTTGTTATCTGTGAGCCACGATCAGGTCAGTGGTGCCATGTAAATATCAATGTATTAATGTGAATGATTTTACATAAATACTTCTTTTGCCATTTGTTGTAAAGATAATGGAAACGACTCAGGTCTCGAGATTTCATTCTTCTGATAATTACGATTTTGCAGACTACCCGTGTGTTTTCTCCATGGAAGAAGAGTGAGGTCCATGATACCGAGGATGAGCGGTGGCATGAAATGGCTCGTCCCCAGGTTCATGGGCATGATATCAACTGTGTAGCCTTTGTGCGAGGAAAAGGCAACCACCGGTTTGTCAGTGGAGCTGAAGAGAAAGTTTTGAGAGTTTTTGAAGCTCCTTTATCGTTCCTGAAGACGCTGAACCATACCATTGCTGGAGAACTAAGCTCTCTGATTGATCTACAGGCAGATATGCAGGTTCTGGGAGCAAACATGTCTGCTCTCGGGCTTTCACAGAAACCTATATACGCTCATGGTGAGACAATTCTCTTCTATTTCAGCTTCAAGAAATGTATCTCAAAATTTTACTTGTGAGAAATATGTGCGTTTTTATTAAACGTGTATTTAAGCTAGGAAAAATTGCTACAAATAACATATGAAGTGAGAGAATTGCACAAAAAGTTCCCGTGAATCGGTAAGAAACAAGATAAGGAAATTCACCATTATCGTGAACTTATGGTTTCAGCTTCTAGCGAGCCGGTGGACAGAAGCAGAGTTGAAGGTATTGATACGCTTGAAACTGTTCCAGAGGCTGCTCCTTCGGAGTTGACAGAGCCTCCCATTGAAGAGCAGCTTGGGTTTCATACTCTGTGGCCGGAGTCTCATAAACTGTACGGTCATGGAAATGAGCTCTTCTCCCTCTGTTCTGACCACAAGGGAACCCTTGTTGCTTCGTCCTGCAAGGTATGCTAAGTTGGATTTGATCACTTCAATTCAAATTTAACTGATGGGTAAGCTAAATATTAGGTGGGTTTGATTGAAAATTGCTTATAAAAACTGAAACTTTTCAGGCTCAATCAACATCCATGGCGGAGATATGGCTATGGGAAGCCGGGACGTGGAAAACGGTGGGGCGTTTGGGATCTCACAGCTTGACAGTGACTCACATTGAGTTCTCTTACGATGACACTCTGCTTTGTTCTGTCTCTAGAGACCGTCATTTTTCTGTGTTCTCACTCCGCAAGACAGGTAACTCCAATGAGCTCCGAAATCAGATGCTTATAGCGTAATCCTCGAACCTGTACATTTGAAATCAGATTCCAAAAACTGAAAACTCTATATATTAAGATTATGATTTCATGTTTGCCCTCAAATATTCTTTTCGCTACCTCCTCTGTAGATGGAGGCGAAATCATTCACGAGCTCGTGGCAAAGGTAGAAGCACACAAGAGAATCATATGGGCATGCTCCTGGAACCCGTGTGGCCACCAATTCGCCACTTCGTCAAGGGATAAAACCGTGAAGATATGGTCTGTTGAGGACGATGATTCTCAGGTCAAACAGGTTCTGTCCTTACCTCTGTTTGGGAGCAGTGTCACCGCCTTGGCTTGGACGGTTGTAGATCTTGAGAAGAATGTTGGGTGTTTGGCGATTGGGATGGAGACCGGATTGATAGAGCTGTGGAGCATTGAGATCCAGAAAACAGAGGAAAGAGGCATGGCAGCAACAGCGAGTTTGGTTCTGCGGTTGGAACCACTAATGTGTCATGTCTCTGCGGTGAACCGTTTGGTCTGGAGACCAATCAAGAAGGCTGAGACTCGCCTGAGGATTCAGCGTTTAGCATCTTGCGGGGCCGATAACTGCGTTAGAGTTTTTGATGTCAAGTTTGACTGAAATCGCTAAACGCTCGTTCAGGTTGCGGTTTCATGTGTCGTGTCGTGTCTCTGTGGTGAACCTTTTGGTCTGGAGACCAACCGAGAAGCCCGAGACTTGCTTGATCTTTCAGCGTTTGGCGTCTTGCAGGACCGATAACTGCGTTAGAGCTATCGCCGTGAAATTTGACTGGAAAAGCTGAACGTTCCCTTTAACATCTCGTGTATTATTGTGCAATTTTTATGAGCTGTAATGAACGAATTTTGTTATTATTTTATGGGAGAATAGCCAAAATAATCATATATTTTTATTTTGTTTTAATTTAAATTTGTACTATTTTTGTATTCTATAAAATATGTATCATTATTTTATTCTTAAAAACTTTCTACTTTCAAGTTTTTGGCAAAAAAAACTGTCATCCAAGATAAATGAAAATCCTATGTCAAAAATTAATAAAAATACATAATATTTAAAATTAATAAAATAAAGAAATAAATACAAAAAAAAATAAAAATATACATAAAATACATATATGCATATATAAATATATACATATACATATATAAATATATACATATACATATATATACTCATATACATATATATACATATATATACACATTTATATATATTTCACAGCTAATAAATATGTATTGTCCAAAACATATTTGTGTTGGTTTAGTACTTTATGATGTATTGTTTTGCGAGTTTTATTTACATTTGATGTATTAACACTTTCTATGGTTTTATGGAGGAGTGTTTGATTCATTACGTATTGTGCATACTTGATATGTTATGAAATCCATGTATTGTTATGAACAATACTAAACTCCTAGTCATGTATCATTGTGGAAATAATGATATACCAAGACTAGTATGATGTGTGATTGATGATCATATAGATGATCATAGGTATTGGATACGATCACAATCATAGGTATTCGTTGGAGAACGGAATACTGGATTGACCCGCATGAGATTGTCACGTGACCTAGCGTCATGACTTGAATTTCATATGGCGGTTCCATGATTGGATCCTAAGACCTGAGATATCTACGGAATCCAACATGAGTAGTTGCGTGCCTTGAATACGTCAAACGTCCTGCGTAACAGGAGGACTATAAAGGCGTGTATCATGTACGAAACGAATCATGTGCTGGATTGTAGATAGTCAAGACGGGATTTGTACCTCTCGTAAAAGAGAGAGATATCGCTGGGCCCCTTGTGTGAGCGAGACTGTAAAAATGTGTGGCCGCACTATAGACGAACGTCGTCTATTTCATATAGTCAAACTCAGTGAACGAGAAAGCAGTCGAATCAGATAAGGTGGCTTGTCCATACCTTATGTTCGACATATGATATCGCGATACAAAAGGATCATCAGCCGAAATCATCACTGGTGTTCGTAAGATCACGAACAAACTCTATTCGAGATAGGTAGTCATAGTGTCTTGCTAGAGACCGCCTATGACTTGTATATCCGAAATAGAGATTTCGGTTTATACTGCTATATCGAATGAGCCTACAGGGTCACACACGCAGGGAAGGACAAAACGC